CCTGTCTTTCTCTCCTAAGAATCCTAACTTGGTAACAAGATCTGCAGATAACGTCTACCTGATTATACCATTTTTACCTTTTGGAAAAACTAACGAATCTTCCAGGGCTAACTGGACAAAGGAATTTTAAAGTACCTTATATCAGCATCAACAGGTATCAACTTATGCTTTATAATGAGGATTAAGAGTTGGGGGTGGGGGAGCACCTTTAATCCCAGAACTTGGGAGACAGAGGCAGGCAATCTCTGTGACTTGAGGCCAGCCAGGGCTACACAGAGAAACCCTGTCTTTAAAAAAAGATAAAGTAAAGGAAAGAAAAAAATGAGAATTAAACTAATGAAAAGAGAAAAATACCAATTAAAAAAAAAGATTTACAAGCCAGGAGGTGGTGGTACATGCCTTTAATCCCAGTGCTCAGAAGGCAGAGAAGCAGGCAGATCTCTATGAGTTCGAGGCCAGCCTGGTCTACAGAGCAAGATCCAGGACAGGCACCAAAACTACATGGAGAAACCCTGTCTTGAAAAACCAAAAAAAGGTTTGCTCTGTGTTGATACTGGGTCAGGTTCATGGGAACTTAGTTTGATTTTTATTATGTTCAGACAGTTCCAAGGCTTTTTGCGGGGAGGAAATTTCTTCCGATTACTTAAAAGATTGTCATCTAATTTTTAAATTCAATTTGGCTAGGCGGTGGTGGCACACACATTTAATCCCAGCACTCAGGAGGCAGAAGCTGGCAGATCTCTGAGTTCAAGGCCAGCCTGGTCTACAGAGTGAGTTCCAGGACAGCCAGGGCTACACAGAGAAACCTGGTCTCGAGGAAAAAAAAAAAAGAAGTTCAGTCTGAAAGAAAATAAATTTCTTTCTTCATGTTGTTACCTAGACTAGATCTATAAAGTCATCTGTCTTCCAACTCTGTCATGGAAAGTGAGCAAAATCTAAGTTCCATGACCATTTCAGACGCACGGCTGGGTGTTAGTAGAAGCAATGGACTGTTTCGGTCAGTCCTCTCCAGCCTAACAGCCCGGGCTTCTGAAGACTACTCAGAGTCAGGGGTCGGGGCCTCAAGGATGCAATCATTTACATGAAGACCCAGTTCTTCAACTGCTACAAGAATAAGTAGTTCACATGATTTCATCAACTCATCTCAAGAAAGAGGCTTCCTCTCTGTGACCCTAGCACAATTCCTCTGCAACACATCCAGAAAATCCTACTTTAAAGAATAATTATTCACAAGACAAAGCCATTCGTTTTCGTGGGCACCTGCGCTACTGAACATTGGGTTTTCACTTCTTTCTCACTGAGCCTCTGCACCCTGGGGACCAGAATGACAGATATGTACCACAAAGCCTGTCTAAAATCATTTGACTCCTCAGAGCATACTACTAAAACTCACCAACTTCTATATTTCTAAAAGAACCAACTAATTTTGGAGGGAACTTCCTAAAGCCACAGGTCTAGAATGAACTTGTTCACCAAGCAAGGCCTCTAGGAACAGCATTATGTCCTGGCAGCACAAGGTTCCCCAAGGGAAGCCTCTTTCGTGATCCTAATTAGTCTTAAACAATAAAAACCCAGAGACAGATAGCGAGGGTGAAAGCCAAGAGATCAGAGAAGCAGAGCAGCCACACAGCAGCCAGCCACCAGAAACTTCTTACCTCTACCAATAATCAGACCAAATGGGCAAGATCCTATCTCTAGGAATCCTCAGATTGAATTGCTGAGATCCTGTCTCCACCCATCTTCTATTCCGGTCTCTACCTCTCTAGTGCTGGGATTAAAGGTGTGAGCCACCACCAACTGGCTCTGTTTCTCTTTTAGACTAGTTCAATCTTGTGTAGCCCAGAGTGGCCTTGAACTCATGATCTTCCTGCTTCCTCCCTGCAAGTGCTGGGATTAAAGGCGTGTCCCCACCACCAGGCCTCTATGGTTGACTAGTGGCTAGCTCTGCCCTCTGATCTCCAGACAAGCTTTATTTGTCAGAACACAAACAAAATATACAACAGATGCCCCAGGAAATGGAATTTCAGTTCAACAGCATTCCTTCCAACAGTGGAATAGCCAACTCCCCATTAGTGTGAAGAGACAGGACCACTGGGATACATGAAAGAGCTAGACCAGTCACATTTTTTTTTAGCTGATTCAGCTACTTCCTCTGTGATCATGGGGATGCTCAACTAATCTCTAAGCGTCTGTGTGTAAACAGAAGCTACTGTCCCAACTTCAGCAGTGTGAGAATCAGAAATGACGCCGAGACATGTCCAGCAAGTACCTTTCGTTCTGTTACTGTAATGCCTGGCAGGACTCCTGTGTGTAGTACTAAGGCTGGAATGGATGTGACCTACTAACCTAACATCATGTTCGGTCTTTAATCTTATCAGTTTCCTTCATGCCTAGAAGAAAAACTCAAGGACTCAAACTTACCAGGTGTCTAATATTCTAAGGAAAGGCAGTTACTGACTCTAGGCGGTACTGCTTCCTAGGTGCTCCCTTCTCTCTTTCCACACCCCTCACTCACTATCTTGCTCCTCACACCCTTCTCAATGTTCTCCAGCCCTTAACAGAAACAATCACAAAGCTCTGAGGAAGTGAGTAGTATGAGAAAAACATTCCTAAATTGGGAGATGGGAACCTGAGTTTGGTCTATGCCGCTAAGCAATTACCGTATTTATGTTGGTCTTAATGACTAAAGCAGTGCCTGTGAATATCACATTTGACTTTAGCATGGTTCATAGAAAATGTAAGGACTACTGCCCTTACTAGCAAACAATCTATGGCCCAAGAGGTGGAGAGGCTCTCCCAGAGTTATATAGGAAGCAGCAGCTCAATATGACCCAGTCTCCACCCTTCCATTCTTGCATTGTTTTACAGGCAAAGCATTGTGGGTGCAAAGTCTGACTATGTTTCCCCTCCGTCTAGTCTGCCACAGCCGTGCAGGTAAGAAATAGAATTCAGGCCCATGAGAAGGATCAGTGGTTAAAAGTGATAGCTGTAAAGCCTAATGACCTAAAAACCCATGTGTGGTGGCTTGAAAGGAAAAGTCCCCCAAAGGGAGTGGCACTATTAGGAGGTGTGGCCTTGTTGAAGGAAGTGTGTCACTGTAGGGATGGGCTTTGAGGTCTCTTTTGCTCAAGCTTCCCTCACTGTGACAGTCAATTGACTTCCTGTTGCCTTCAAGATGTAGTAGCACTCTCAGCTGCTCCAGCACGTCTGCCTGCACTCCACCCTGCTCCCCGCTATAATGGACTGAACCTCTGAAACTAATCAAGCCCCCTCAATTAAATGTTTTTATTTATAAGAGTTGTCATGGTCATAGTGTCTCTTCACAGCAATAAAAACCAAATTAAGACACCATGTAAAGTTGGAAGGAGAGAAATGACTCCATAAAGTTGTTCTCTGGCCTACATACTCACGTAGACACTCAAGAGTGCTAAAAAAACATACACACTTAAAAAAAAAAAAACGCAAAGAATAAAAGGTAGATATCTGTTGTTGTTGGAAAGGCTATCTCCTTGCCCCCCCTTTCATACCAAGTACAACCAGTTAAGCACAGATGTAGGCCAGGCATAGTGGCACATGTCTTTAATCACAGTACTCAGAGACAGAGGCAGAAGGATCTCTGTGAGTTCGAGGCCAGCCTGGTCTACATAGTGAGTTTCAAAACCACAAAGAAAAAAAGAATCAGATGCTTTAAAAACATGTGCATGTGTGCACCCAGAGGCTTATGTGTACATAAATATATTTTGTGAATATTCAGGAAACTGATTAAACAGGTTACTTCCAGAGAGAACTAGGAAGGCAAAGAAAGGGATAAGGTCCCTTTTAACCATACACCTTTTTGTATTTAAAAACACGTGAATACACTATTTTAAAAATCTTTTCCTCTTGTTGCTTGTGGGATTTAGAAAATTGTTTTATTTTCTTGTTTGTCTTTTGAAACAGGCTTTTGCAATGCAGCCTAGACTGGTCTTCAATTCACAATTCTGCCTCAGCTGTCTGAGTGCTGGGACTACTAGAGTCCACAGCCACCCTTGGCCTGAAAGCCCTTAGTCTGGAGACTAATTTTTTTTTTAAGCTTTGGAAAAATTTAAAAAATGTTTATAAAACATGGGTTCTGAAATTTCTCTTGTTGGGTAACCATGAGCAAATCATCTCATATAATTTCCTCACTTGTAAACTGTAGCCTGGTACTGTTTTACTTACAAGAGTTTGTAAGGATTAAACAGGATAAAGAGTTCTGCGCAGTATCTGGCACACGATAAGCCTACAATAAATGCCAGTTACTGTTATTATGTAGTATGAATAGTTATTTCGGCCTTTTTTTAAAAAAAGCAGCATCCCAAATACACACCTGTTTTCAAACCATAACCACAAACAAGGTGCCTTCCTACTGGCTCTATAACGTTCTGTATTTTACAAACCACCTGTCCACACTTCATCTTTCATCAAACTGGTAGCCCTGGGGCATCAATGTCAACTCATTTCGCAGCTAGGGAAACTGAGACACCAGAAGGCAGGAACACTTAGATCTAATTTTCCTGTCTCTAAAACGAACTCCGAATCCCTCAGCCCGCTCGTGACTCCCCTCGTCCCCTGCTCCCGGAGCCGTGTTCCGCGCGGCACTGACCTGAGCGAGCGCCCCGGGGCCCGGGACCTCGCGCCGGGCTCACACCGATTAGGCGCGCTCGGGCCACCAGAGCGTCGCAGCGGCCGGGTCCGCTCCGCAGCCATGGCGCCTGCGGGGAGAGGGAGAAGACAGGCCGAGGCGGCCGGTCAGCAACGCCGCCGGCGCCCAGGATCCCTGCCCAGCCCGGCCCGGCCCATAGCGAATACAGACCTGGACCTGCGGCCGCTGCTCTAGGTCCGCAGCCTCACAGGGGAGCGGCTTCCGGTGCTGCTTGCGTCATCTCCGCGCGTCCCTCCGGCACCCAGAGTCCAGCGCCAGGCGGAAGCTGCTGTACTTCCGCCTCCCCCCACCACCACCACCGTGAAGGTGGAGAAAAATGGCTGAGGCTGTGAAGAAGGACGGGATGCACCCGGTACCACCTGTCTACGCTTAGACCTAGTGATCCTGGACTAAAGCTTCGTTTCAAGGCGGCTATCCAGATTTGCACGGAGTGTTTATATTCTTCACCTACCCTTGTTTTTCACCAAGTTAGGGGTACTTTTTCACTGGGGAGAGGCTCCCAATGGGATGTATCTAATTCAAACAACCATTAACACTTGATACATTCCAAACATGGTTCTGGCACACATGAACAAATCCCTAACTGCGTGAGGTCTACATCTAGTCGTGGGAGAAAGACAAGCATAAACAACTAAGCAAACTTTGAGCAGCAAGGTCTGTGGGAAACAAAACATGGTTAAGGCGTTGGATAGAGGCATCCTAGTGATGCAGGCTTGAATCAGAGCACATGCCCTCTGTGCCTGAAATGTGGCCGCTCAACTGTGGAGATGGCTGTTCTCTGTAACACTTAAGTTACTTTGTGAAAGCCAAAGTTTTAATTACTATGTCTTAGGGATCCATGAAACAAAATTGCCTCTGATCTGCAAGCCCCTTGCCCAAGGACAGATACTTCCTGATATGCTGGAGGCTACTGTTTATGGGAGATAACACCTACATGTTTTCACTCCCCTAAACAAGTTTGTTTGACCCGTCTGCACCAGATGTGCTTGATCACACGTGGGTGGGAGGTTCCTAGGCAGGAAATAGGATAGGACGTACACTTGCCTCTGGACCTGATGGGAAATGCGATGAAATGTGAGTTTTCTTCTTAAGCCCTTGTAAAACTTGCTTCTAGGCCATTTCCTGGGAAACTGGGTAGGACCTGGCCAGATCCTATCTACCTGGCCAGTATTTAATTAAGACTTGCTTTGAATTTGGCTTTCAACTGTGGTAGTGGTCTTATTCTCAAGTGGTGGGATTAACAATTTATCCGCTAGCTGGAATCCAAATCATGGTGAGTAAAGAGAAGCTCTTCTTTTTTTTTTTTTTTTTTTGGTTTTTCGAGACAGGGTTTCTCTGTGTAGCTTTGCGCCTTTCCTGGAACTCACTTGGTAGTCCAGGCTGGCCTCGAACTCACAGAGATCCGCCTGGCTCTGCCTCCCGAGTGCTGGGATTAAAGGCGTGCGCCACCACCGCCCGGCGAGAAGCTCTTCTAATGATGCTATATGATAGCTTTTTTGTTGTTTTTTCCAGTCAGGGTTTCTCTGTGTAGCCCTGGCTGTCCTGGAACTCCCTCTGTAGACCAAGCTAGCCTTGAACTGAGATCCACCTGCCTCTGCCTCCTGAGTTCTGGGATTAAAGGGGTGCGTCACCACCACCTGGCCTTTTTTGTTTGTTTTTTGTTTGTTTGTTTTGAAAGCTTTTGTTTGCCTTGCTGTTTGACAGCAGCAGCCAGGGCAGCAATCAGACAGGAACAAGACCAGGACCAGGAGGAGGGTGATCAACAGTTTTTATACATGAAGAGCTCCTGTAGGCCTGGGCATGGCGAGCATACTCTGGCAGGCCTCTCCTTCCTCCATTCCCAATGCCTTGCTACATTGTTAGGTTACATTCCTAAAGCTAGCCACCAAGGTATTCCTTTATTTGGCCATGTCCTCCTGAGGCTGACTACCAAGGTCCAGTGATCAAAGTATTAAAATCAAGCAATCAAAAGCCCCATTTGGTCCACCCAATTAACATGTAAAATCAAAATATACTAAATCATTCTAACACAGGGTTTCCCTTTATAAACTGCCATTTGCCTATGGGCCACACTTGTCCCCTCTATCCAGAAGAAGTTCTTTGTCCCTCCAGGGCAAATATCCTCCCACCTTGTTCCTGTCCCCTTGTCCCTCATCCTCTGGCCCGGCCTGTCTTTGTTTCTTATTCCCAGACCTTTGTGTTAGGATTCTGCCACTCCTCCAGCTGTATGACCATACATACGAAGTTCAGTAGCTAAGTGAGGGGTCTTAACATCTTATGTCATCTGTGTGCTGCATGATTACGTAATGCATGCGCCATTGTCACACAATCTGTGCATTTGTGGCATAGCTCCATAAGCCCACCTCTGCAGGGGAATCCTTAAAAAGCTGGACACAGGCCGGGTGGTGGTGGTGGTGCACACCTTTAATCCCAGCACTCGGGAGGCAGAGCCAGGCGGATCTCTGTGAGTTCGAGGCCAGCCTGGACTACCAAGTGAGTTCCAGGAAAGGCACAAAGCTACACAGAGAAACCCTGTCTCGAAAAACCAAAAAAAAAAAAAAAGAAAGCTGGACACAGACTCGTCCCCTCTCCTCTGCTCTCTCCTCCTCCGCTCTCCCCTCTCCACGTGTCTCGGCCCCAGGCCTGGCCGCGCTCTCTTCTGTCCTCTCATTCCTCCTAATAAAGCTCTGATACTGAGTTGCCTCGTGACCTTTCTCGAACGGTAACCAGTGCCACTTATTTTTTAAAACCAACCCTTTGTCCCTCTGGAGGAAATACATTTCCTTTGTACTGAGAACTTGCTCTTGGGATACCTCGGTCCAGTCCTTTAAATATAGGTCTTGAGTATCTGGACCCTTAGCTAGGTCACCAGAAGAAATGCTCTGCATCTGGTGTAGGTCATCTAAGTTCACTAATATCTGTGATGTTACAGTCTGGTACAAACTGCTTCATACAGCCCTAAATGGGGTTGTACCCTCAGGAGCTGGGGCGATCAGATGCAATTGTGCATTTTTCTCAAGATATCCTTGGAGTGTTCTAGATAGCTGGTGCTGGTGTAAAGGTAGTATAGACAGGCTATTTGACTGAAAGTTGCTTTGCTCAGGGCAGGGAGGGCACAAGGCAGCATGCAGCAGGCCTCAGCTTGGCAAACATGGTGCTAGCAGGTCGTGTGCTCCCGCTTCCCTCCCTTGCTAAACCGGCAGATTCTCTCATTCAGACACTTGCACATTCCTGAAGCTAGCCACCAAGGTCTATTCACCTATTTGGCCAATTCCTTATGCCCATCTCAATCCTGAGGCTGATCACCAAGGTCCAACTACCAAATTCATAATTTAGCTGTACTGACTAACCTGTCTAGTCAGGACTTCTCAGCTCATCCTCGCACAGACTTCCCCTTGTCTCCTTAAAAACCACCCCTGCGGAGACACCTGCTGCCCCTGCGGAGACACCTGCTGCTGCCATCTTTGCCCTCGCCCCCCTGGGTGTGCACTTGGCCACTCTTGTGAAATATTCCTTTATTGTGAATGGCTTAATAAAAAGCTAAGGCCGGGCGGTGGTGGCGCACGCCTTTAATCCCAGCACTCGGGAGGCAGAGCCAGGCGGATCTCTGTGAGTTCGAGGCCAGCCTGGGCTACCAAGTGAGTTCCAGGAAAGGCACAAAGCTACACAGAGAAACCCTGTCTCGAAAAACCAAAAAAAAAAATAAATAAATAAAAAAAAAAAATAAAAAGCTAAATGCCTGGCCGGGCGGTGGTGGCGCACGCCTTTAATCCCAGCACTCGGGAGGCAGAGCCAGGCGGATCTCTGTGAGTTCGAGGCCAGCCTGGGCTACCAAGTGAGTTCCAGGAAAGGCGCAAAGCTACACAGAGAAACCCTGTCTCGAAAAACCAAAAAAAAAAAAAAAAAAAAAAAAAAGCTAAATGCCTGATAGCTAGGCAGGAGGCAAAGCAGGGACTTCTGGACAGAGAGAGCTCTGGGAAGCAGAAAGGTGGAGCTTCCAGCCAGATGTTGAGAAAGCAGGATGGGCAGTACAGAGTAAAGGCAACCAAGCCATGTAAACAATGTAGATTAAAAGATATGGGTTAATTTAAATTATAAGAGCTAATGGGACAAGCCTAAGCTAAGGCCAAACTTTCATGATTAATAAGAAGTCTCTGTGGTCATTATTTGGGAGCTGGCGGTCCTGACGAAAAAGTCTGACTACAAATAGCACCCAATGTGCCTTTAATCCCAGCACTCAGGAGGCAGAGGCAGGCAGATCTCTGTGAGTTCAAAGCCAGCCTCATCTACAGATCAAGTTCTAGGACAGCCAGGGCTCCACAGAGAAACCCTGTTTCAAATAAAAAACCCAAAACAAAACAAAAGAACCAGAACTGTGTCCACACATGCAAACACTATATGCACTATTATTTAAATTCCTACAACTTTATAAAGTAGTTACTATTATTATTCCTATTTTAAAGAGGATTTGGGTATCTTGACTACAGTTACAGTCACTAGCAGCCATAGGATTTAAGCGCAAATCAACTTCAGAACACCAACTAACCCCTGTGCCTATCTGGGCTCATTAGCTATATTCAAAGGCACACATACACCTTTATCTTACCTAAGTGTAGCTAGAGTTTTCCTGCCTGACCCACAGTCAGGACAAATCTCTCTCACCTGCCAGTCCCACAGCCGCTCAAACCCGACCAAGTAAACACAGAGACTTATATTGGTTACAAACTGTATGGCCGTGGCAGGCTTCTTGCTAACTGTTCTTACAGCTTAAATTAATCCATTTCCATTAATCTATACCTTGCCACATGGCTCGTGGCTTACCGGCATCTTCACATGCTGTTTGTCATCGTGGCGGCTGGCAGTGTCTCTGACTCAGCCTTCCACTTCCCAGCTTTATTCTCCTCCTTGTCCCTCCTACACTTCCTGCCTGGCCACGGGCCAATCAGTGCTTTATTTACCAACCAATCAGAGCAACACATTTGCCATACAGAACATCCACAGCACCTAAGAGCACCAATAAGGCCTCAGCAATAATGAAGATGTTCTCTTGGTTTCCTTAAATAAGGTGGCACTAGCCTCTTGTTTTGAACACTTGAAATACACCTACCATGTTTCAGTTAATTCACATTTATGTAGCTACATGTGGCTAAAACCTGCCATACTAGACAGAATAATTCACTACTCTACAGACAGCATACAACCTAGACAACAGAGTCACATATGCAGTTAGTAGTAGACCTCAGCAAAGTTCCAAGTTACCTGACACCATCTAGAGCACTTCAAGTGTTGGAAATAGTGGTTTGTGATAGAAGCCAAATGTTTGATCCTCAAAACCAGGTCCCAAGAGAACAAATTTGGTCTGACAGGCAACAAGGAGCCACTATCGACATCTACACCAGAGACTGACTGATGGCAGCATTATATGAAATTGAGGAAGAGATAGACACACAGATTTGGCAACTTGTATGAAAGGGAAGGTTGGAAGGAAAACCATGCACCAATATCTATTTGCTGCATTGGTCTCAACCTCCACAGGGTAGATGTTTGATAAATCAAACTGCAGATTTCAAGTGGAGCTTCCCTAGAGGTAATATTGATTGACCTCTCATAGAAAAAGAAACTTAGCTGTAAATTTTGAAGCCCAGAGAAGATCTGGGAGCAAAATTTGTAACCAGAAAAAAGAAAATTGCAAAAATGTAATTATGCAAAAACATAATAATAGAAACATTTAATTGTTAGATTTAGTACATATAAAAACTCCCTTTAATTTGGATTTTCAAGTTAGATTTTCCCACTTGGTAAAAATTTCCAAGATTAGATGATAGTTGTCGAGAGAACATACTCAACTCTAAGAACTTGCTTGCTGTGTGTATCTGTGTGTTTGTGTGTGTATGTGTATCTCTGGGTGTGGCCATAGTTCCTTTTCATTGTCCAGTAGTTTTAAACTTATTTTTCAAATTAGTATACAAAGTATTGCTTCATTATGGCATTCTCAACAAAATCTGTTTTCTTGATTTTTCTATTTTCCTTTTCTTCCCCTAAGGACTTAGTCTTTTGTTTGTTGGTTTGTTTTTGTTTTTTGATACAGGGTTTCTCTGTGTAGTCCTGGCTGTCCTGGAACTAGTTCTGTAGACCAGGCTGGCCTTGAACTCATAGAGCACTGCCTGCCTCTGCCTCCGAAGTGCTGAGATTAAAGGTGTGTGCCTGGCAATTTATTTTATTTATTTTATTTTTATTTATTTGAGACAAGGTTTCTCTGTGTAACAGCCTTGGCAGTCCTAGACCTAACTGTAGACCAGGCTGGCCTTGAACTCCCGGAGATCTACCTGCCTCTGCCTCCTGCGTGCTGGGATTAAAGGTGTGTGCCACCACTGTCCAGCTCAAGACTCATTCTTTTTTTTTTTTTTTTGTTTTGTTTTGTTTTTTGAGACAGGGTTTCTCTTTGTAGCTTTGGAGCCTGTCCTGGATCTCGCTCTGTACACCAGGCTGGCCTAAACTCACAGCGATCCGCCTGGCTCTGCCTTCCGAGTGCTGGGATTAAAGGCGTGCGCCACCACTGCCCAGCTACAGGACTCATTCTTTTTTTTTTTTCTAATACTTTTTTTTTTAACATAAAAACAGGTTATAATTCAAAAGTCCAGGGTTATTTGAAACTGGAAAATATTTTCTCTGTAGAAAATAGTAAAAATAACATTTCCCAATAAGCTCCTTTAAGCGAAATAATAGTTGAATTATACATATAAATATTGATTAGGTTCTGGGATACAGAAGAAACCTATCTTCATCTGTTCAGAGAGCTATGTTTTACTTAAGTTGTGTAAGTGGGATTCCTATTCATCTTCCCCTTCACTGTTTGATTTACAGCAGACATTTTTCTATAGGCTAGTCCATAATCTAAAAAGATTTTAGCCTCCCCTCCTGAAAGTACAGCCAGAATATCCTTTCATCAGCTTGATATGGTACAAATTCTTATCCTAATAGTGAATTGTTTCACTAAAGCATGCCCAGTGATGATTGGGCAAAACCAAAACTTATAAGCCACAGTCATCCTAGGGTCCCCCCTGCTAGGTAGCCTCCTTGGATCTATGGGTTGCAGTCTGATTGTCCTTTGCTGTATATCTAGTATCCACTTATGAGTGAGTACATACCATGTTTGTCCTTCCGAGTCTGGGTTACCTCACTCAGGATGATATTTTCTAGTTCCATCCATTTGCCTGCAGATTTCATAATGGCAGGACTCATTCTTAATCAACAGAATGGCTGTAAATGGCAGATAAGGAGGCCAATATACGGAGGGAGATACAATATCTCCTGACGCGGAAGCAGAATGGTTGTGGCAAGACTATGAAAATAAGCTCAGTGCTGGGCATGGTAGCCCACTCCTTTAATCAGATGGACCTCTGTGAGTTTGAGGCCAGCCTGGTCTACAGAGTGAGATCCAGGACAGCCAGGGCTACACAAAGAAACCCTGTCTGAAAAACCAAACCAAACCAAAACACAAAAACAAAAAAGAAAATAAATTTAATTTTATTTACTGAAATCAGCCTTCAAGTAGAAACAGTATTTAGTATAGCCTTTACATATTTCAAGAAAAGAGCACATACCAAATGCTGAATTTCCTCAGTAGATGAAATAAATGAAATTTTCTATTTCTTCTTTGTGGGGGTGGTTTTGAGACAGGGTTTCATGTAGCTCAGGTGTGGTGGTTTGTATTTCTCTCTTTCTCTCCTTTTTCTTTTCTTTTCTTTTTTGGTGTTTTGAGACAGGGTTTCTCTGTGTAGCCCTGACTGTCCTGGAACCAGCTCTGTAAACCAGACTGGCTTCCACCTGAAAGATCCTCCTACCTCTGCACCTCAAGTGCTGGGATTAAAGCTATACACTACCACACCTGGTTTATGGTGGTTTGTATTTCTTTTCTTTTTTTTCTTGTTTTTTCTAGACAGGCTTCCTCTGTGTAGCTCTGGCTGTCCTGGAACTCACTCTGTAGACCATATTGACCTCGAACTCAGAGATTCACCTGCCTCTGCCTCACAAGTGCTGGGATTAAAGGCGTGCACCACTGCCATCCAACAGTATTTCTTATGATTTAGTAAATATCTTACATAACTTAAACCAGGAATTCAGAATCTTTCTCAATGAGACACACTGACTATATGATGTTTCTTTGGGGGAGAAAAAAAAAACCATGGGATCACATGTATTCCTTAATGTTTAGAGCAGTTTTACCATGTGCATGTACTGGGGATTAGGCATTATTCCCGAGGGACACGCACACATTGTTTTCCTCTTTGGGAGGTGATGCTGTGCACATATGATGGAGGTGAAGAGTTCTTTGAACTTCCACTTGTATTTTCCTGGAGTCAACGCGATGATAAGGAGTCTGTTCCATGAGACACACAGGGTGAAGACATGAAAAGGTTTGCTTTTCTGCCTTTGTTCTGGATTCTCACTAGCTGTAACACGATAAGCATGCACTGTCCTGTCCTGTGCAGGCAGCAGGTATTCTGGGACAGAAACTCAGGGTGATCAGCAAGAAACCTTATCCTTAAAGTTTGAGGCTCAAAGTCCTTTACTGCAGTTGCTGTCCGGCTGCAGTTATCCCGACATTCTGTTGCTCATAACTTGGAATATGAACTTAATCATTCCCAAAGCCCTGAAATTGCTCACAGACAACATGCAGGTAAGTTTCTGATCACTTCTGAAGCATTTGATAGCTATTAAAATAGGTTGTTCAGCATGTAAATCATTAGCACGGAGAAAAATGGCAAGTAGTGCAGTTTGTAACTGCAAGTTTTGTTTTGTTTCTCCTATTCACTTGGCACGGTGAAGGCAAGGTAGGGGTCAGAATTCCTCAGGGGTTCCAAGTCCACGTTAGACAGTGACGGATTCGAGGTCAGATTCTGAGCCTGTCTCAATCTCTTACCCACAGCGTGCTCTTGGGGAAAGTATTAAACCTCTCAGGTGCTCAGCTAAATTTGGAAGTTAGTCTATTTGAAAGGGGTTTCACCGGGGCTAAATGCAGTAAGTATAAAGTGCCCAGCACAGTGGCTGGCACACAGCAACTGCTCAGTACGAGGTAACTCATCGTAACAGCAAGGTTCTAACGGACAGTTTGAATCCTTGAAAGTTCCCTAACTCCGTTACAATTCTGCATGCTCCCTTCTGGATGGACACTTTCCCTCCCTCGGGTGAGGTGGAGCAAGTTTGGCACGGGTCCACCTTGGGCTCTGAAGAGAATGCTCTCTGCAGATAATAGGAATCTACCCACATCGATAGGCATGTCAGATGGGTTATGAGAGTCAGTCAAAACAGATTCTAGTTCAGTATTAGAATAATTTGAAAGTTATTCTAAACTATAAATGTCTGATAAATAGCCAGGGTGTGAATAGCCAGAACATCCAAAGTGACCACTTCATGGAAAACTATTCTTGACTTTTGTAATTAGAGAGGAAATCGATCTAAGTGCTTCCATTCGAAAAAGAACTATATGTATGTTCCCTGTAGGTTTTAATCACAATGGTATCACTTGATATGTGTTATCAGTATATATCTATGCCTGATGCTTCTTTGTATCTCCAGTGTCTCACATAGTATCTAGTTTATATATATAAATGAATATATATATATATTCATATATATATATAAACTGAACTTCCAATCGGACAAGGAAGTAAACAGCTAACATTGTGCTCTGTAGCCACTTTCTGGAAAACACTGGAGAAGAGAGACACATATTGCTTGTTACCCAGGAGACTGCAATCTAGAAGAGAGGTTATAATAATAAACACTTGTATAGAATGTGCTGCTGAGTACTGTGAGAAGCCCCTGCAGGGTTGGTGGGTGGAATAAACAGGGATGGAAATGAAGGCGCCTAACTCTTTGTCTTACTTAGGTGACATTCTGCAGACTTCGGACTCACCAGTGGTGTTTCATTCTGTTTAATGTCGTACTGTTTCATGCCTTGCTCTTTGGAGCTGACTTTGTGGAAGAATACTTTTTACGGTCTTTGCCTCATGTCGATATCAAAATTCTTGAAATTAAGAACAAGGCAAGAAAATTGAACATGGAATCTGTAAGAAGCAATCCTTCCAAGTATTATGTTCTGAGCCAGCCGGAGGCATGTAATGAGAAGACCATCTTTCTGCTCTCTCTTATCTTCAGTAGCCCAGGGAATGGAACAAGACGGGAGCTCATCAGGAAAACCTGGGGTAGTGTGACTAGTGTCCAAGGATATCCAATTCTCACACTGTTTGCTCTGGGAATGCCAGCTCTGGTAACTACCCAGGAAGAAATAGACATAGAGTCTCGGAAGAATAACGATATCATTGAAGGGATTTTCTTGGACAGTTCCGAAAACCAAACCCTGAAGGTCATCTCAATGACTCAGTGGGCTGTGGCCTTCTGTCCTAATGCCCTGTTCATCCTCAAAGTTGATGAAGAAATGTTCGTCAATCTACCAGGCTTGGTAGACTATCTCCTCAGTCTAAAAGAACACTTGGAAGGTATCTATGTAGGAAGGGTTATTCACCAGGATATACCTAACAGAGACCCCCACAGCCAAGAATTTGTCCCTCTTAGTGAGTACCCAGAAAAATATTACCCAGACTACTGCAGTGGTGAGGCCTTTATAATGTCCCAAGATGTGGCTCAGATGGTGTATGTGGTATTGAATGAAGCACCTATAATGGTACCTGCTGATGTATTTGTAGGGATCTGTGCTAAGCTGGTTGGCCTTATACCCATCCACAGCTCAAGGTTTTCTGGGGAAAGACACATTGTGTATAACAGATGTTGCTACAAGTTCATCTTTACATCTTCAGAAGCTACAGATGCTGAAACATCCCTGGCATGGAGAGAAATGAATGATGGGAAAGAGTGTTCACTGTTTGAGACTTACTATGGGCTCATTTCCTGCAAACTTCTGACATACCTCAACAGCTTTAGACGTTTTCATGTGGGGACTGTGCAAGGCAGTGCTGTGCACTTTGGTGAATAGTATTCACTTGCTTTCCTTTTAAGTCTCTTGTTTTTAAATTGATGTTGGCCCATTATAGAAAGCAACTCTATGTCCCCAAGTCATGTAGCAATCTGAATCTTTATTCATACCTAGCAAAACCACAAAATGTTCTTAGTGCTCTGATGTACCCAATCTTGACACCTTGTTTTTGATGTTTTAATACATTTAGATTAGTATGGTGTGATTCTTTTCAAAATAAAATCTTTCAGAAAAGAGAGAACATTAGCCAGGTGGTGGTGGCACATGCCTTTAACCCCAGCATGAGGAGGCAGAGGCAGGGGGACTTCTGTGAGTTTGAGGTCAGCCTGGTCTACAGAGTGAGTTCCAGGACAGGCTCCAAAGCTACACAGAGAAATTCTGTCTTGAGAAAAAAAAAAAGGGAGAGAATATTAAATTTCATTATAACATATATTGTGTAATAGAGTGTTACATATTTTAATTTTTTTACATTTGTTTGTGTGTGTGTGTGCATGTACATGTGTGTATATATGTGTGTGTGTATCACAGGGCATTATATGGAGGTCAAAGAACAAGAGGAGTCAGTTCTCTCCTTTCAACCTGTGCGTTCTAGGAACAGAACTCAAATCACTAGACTTGGCAGTAATTACCCTTACCCACTGAGCCCATCTCACTGGCCCTTACAAGTAATAAATAGGTATACATTCTGGAATGCCTAAATTCATTTATTTAACATATGTTTCCTTACATACTTTTTGTGGTTAAAAACTTAAAAATGTATGCTCCCAGCAGTTTATATGTATATGTATTTCCATCCATCCATCATCTATCTATCTATCTATCTATCTATCTATCTATCTATCTATCTATCTACATTAACTATCATTATTGTGAAGTATAATAGATTTCCTGAACTTATTTCTATCAAACTGATATTGTTTGGTCCTGTGACTAGCAACCCTCTGAATCTAGAAACCATCGTTATACCGAGTTTGGCATCTTTACCCTGCGTGTGGATGAACATGTGGCTGTGTGTCTTTCGTGCTTGGCCTGTCTCACTTACCATGGTGTCCTCTTCCCTCTCCAGGCTCGTGCAAACGATCGTCTTTGTTTTCTTTATTGAGTCTTTGGGAATTTCACATCATGTACCCAATCCTGCTCACCTCCCAGTCCCTCACATACTCTCCTCACCCCTGCAGCATTCCCCTAAAAGAAGCCCCCTCAAAAGTCAACTAGAAAACAAAAACCACCTGGCTCCTCATCTTTCCAACACCTCTTCCTTCCTCCTGGTGGCACTGGGTGCCCTGGTGTGTCACACAGACCCCTTTTGTCCAATCAGCTCCACTCACAGAATGTTCATTGCAGTGAGTCATTGGTCCGGTTCAAGGGTTCTGGCACACAATCATCACTGGATCCTCACCGAAATGCCTCTCAGACATTGCCCCAAGTCATTGGCGATCCTGTGGCTATCAGGCCCATTCCCTTCACACACTCCAGCAGGTCATTGACGGGCGGACGTTAGGGTGGGCCAAGCCAAGGCCCAGGGTGTGGGTCTGGGTGGCAGCTGAGCTGGTTGGTCTTGGCCACTGGGACCACCTACCTCAGGTGAGGGGCAGAGCCAGCTTTCCTAGACCCATGCCATCAGGGCCAGCTCTCCCATGCCTGGGGTAGGGGTGGGGTTCATCTCTCCCAAGTGGGGAATGGTGGTGAGAGGGGCAGCTTTCCTGCTGCAGTGTCCAGTGAGGGGCAGAGCTGGCTCAGCACAACCCTCAGATTTCATCATGCATGGTTCCTATGACCCCCTGTGGCAACACAGGCCATGGACATCATCATAGACCCCAGCTGCAGCAGGAACACAGACCCAGACATGGCCCTTAGCAGCAGCTCGGGCAAGATGTCACCATGGCCCTGGTGACAGTACAGGTTACTCAGATGAGTATGGCCTTGGTGGCAACCCTCAAACACCAACATGGTCTCAGGTGACTGTCTAGACCCCAGACATCCACACAGTCCTTGGTGATAATAGGAGCCTCAGACATCAACTCAGACCCTGGCTACAGTAGGGCCATGGACCCAGACATGGCCCTATGGCCCTAGGCAGCAGCCCAGGCCCGGACAACATCATGGCCCTGTGTTGGCAGTGCAGGCCACCCAGATCATCATGGCCCCTGTGTTGGCACAGCCTTCAGATACCAACATGGCCACAGGTTGCAGCCTAGATCTCGGGCATCCTTGTGTCCTTTGGTGTTACCATGGGCCATGGACATCAACACAGATCCCTGGCTATGGCAGGACCACAGACCCAGACATGGTCCTCATCAGCAGCCTGGGCTTGGATATCATCATGGCCCCAGGGAATAGGTCTTTCTTAAGGAGAAATTATGTTCCCTTGTGACAGCCATCCACATTTTCCTCTTTTTAATAGTGTGTGCATGCATGCACACATAAGCACACCAGGGAACAGATCTGTGGTTTTGGAGACCAAACTCAGGTCATCAGGCTTGGCAGCAGATGCCCTCACCCACTGAGCCCTCCCTCCAGATTACATTTTCTCGGTCTGTTCATCCGTTGATGGACACTTAGGCTGGTTACAGACCCTGACTATTGTGAATAATGTTGCAATGGTTGTAGCAGTGTAAATATCCCGATTTTATGTCCTTTGAGAATATATTCAAAGGGAGACTTCTGGACCACACCCTAGTCCTGACTTTCATTTTTGAGGAACTGCCACATTGTTTTCCATGATGGCTATCCATGTACATTGATTCCAGCGATGTGAAGGGCCCCTCTCCTCCCCATGCTCATCACTGCTTCCCTTTTGCTGTTGTACATTAGCCCATCTAATAGGTAGAAGGCAGTCTCTCACTGTGGAGCTAATTTGCATTTTCCTGATGGTTAGTAATGGTAACTGTTTGTTCACTTACCTTGGCCATTTGTGACTTTTGTTTTTGTGGATGTTTTTTGAGGTGGGGTCATGCTAGGTTGCCCAGGCAGATCTTGAATTCCTGGGCCCAACCACCTCCGCCTCTGAGTAGCTGGGACTACCAGACCACATCCCTGTGCCCAGCTCCACTGGCCATTTGCACATCTTCTCTTGAGAAATATCAAATTTAGGGTTTTTTTTCTTGGTTTTGAATTGTTTCTTGCTGGGTAGGTAGTAGTGACACATGCCTTTAATCCCAGCACTAGGGAGACAGAGGTAGGTGGATCTCTGAGTTTGAGGCCAGACTGGTCTACAGAGTGAGTTCCATGACAGCCAGGGTTACACAGAGAAATCCTGTATTGAAAAACAAAACAAAACAAAAATCAGTTTGTTATTGAATTCCACACATTTCCCCCATTTTTATTTTTCTTATTATTTTGATCATTAATCTCTTACTAGATGATGGGGATATTTTCTCCCATTCTACAGGTCATTTCATCATGTTGATTCTTTTTTTTTTTTTTTTTTCAAGACAGGGTTTCTCTGTGTAGCTTTGAGCCTTTTCCTGGAACTCACTTGGTAGCCCAGGCTGGCCTCGAACTCACAGAGATCTGCCTGGCTCTGCCTCCCGAGTGCTGGGATTAAAGGCATGCGCCACCACCGCCCGGCCATCATGTTGATTCTTATTGCGATGCAGCTTTTGACTCTGACATGGTCTCATCTGCATGTCTGTGCTGTGTGAGTCATATCAAAGCACCCCTACCCAAATCAGTGCCGTCAGGTTTTCCACTTCATTTTTTTCTGGTATGTTTAAGGCTTTACTCTGCTGTGCCATCATTTTTGTACAAGCTGTGGGTTAAAGGTCTAGTCTCATCCTTCCACGTGTAGATACTGCTTTTCCACCACTATTTACTAAGGATAATGCACTCTAGCATTGTGTTCTTGGCATCTTTCTTGGATACTGATCATAAACTTTAAAATTTATTTCTGAGCACTCAGTTCTGTTCTACTAATCTGGGTGTCTTTTTATGTCAGTTCCATGTTGTTCTGATCACTGTTGCAGAGTATTATTTTAAGCTGTGTTACTTTTGTTTATGTTGCATCTGTTTAACTCTGTGAAGCTGTTACTGTGCCTGTCTAAAACACCTGATGGTCTAGTAAAGAACTGAATGGCCAATAGCAAGGCAGGAGAAAGGATAGGCAGGGCTGGCAGGCAGAGAGAATATAGGAGAAATCTTGGAGGATAAAAGAAGTAGCCAAAGAAGAAGGAGGCCATTAGGGGCTAACCACCCAGCCACCCAACCACCCAGCCACACAGCCACACAGCCACCCAGTCACACAGCCACTCAGCCAGACAGCCACATAGCCACACAGCCAGACACAGAGTAAGAGTGAAAGTAAGATTATAGAAGTAAGAAAAAGAAAAGGCCCAGAGGCAAAAGGTAGCTGGGATAATTTAAAGTTAAGACAGGCTGGGGCTGGAGAGATGGCTCAGTGGTTGAAAGCACTGACTGTTCTTCCAGGGGTCCTGAGTTCAATTCCCAGCAACTACATGGTGGCTTACAACCATCCGTAATGAGATCTGGTGCCCTCTTCTGGCCTGCAAGCATATATGCAGAACACTGTATACATAATGAATAAATAAATCTTAAAAAAAAAAAAAAAAAAGACAGGCTGGCATGAAGTTAGCCAAGCTACGGCTGGACATTTATAATTAAAAATAAGCCTCCGTGTGATTTATTTGGGAGCTGGGTGGCAGGCCCCCCCATAAGACAACCAACTACAGATCACTGTGACTTTGGAGTGTATTTTGAAGTCAGGTAGTATGATACATCTAGCTTTGTTCTTTTTGCTTGACATTGGTGTGATTAGTTAAAGTCTTTTGTTTACAATCTGTTTTCTATTTTGGTGAGAAGTGTCATTGGGATTTTGATACATTTCTTAAATGTGAGAAACGATTCTCACTTCAAAATAAGAGTACTTGAGACTCAGAGGCACAAAAGTGACAGTTTATTTTACGTCCTTGCAAAGTTGGATGCCATTCTAGAACAGCCGGCAGGTGGATGACACATCACCCTTCCTCCCTTTTTGAACAATCAAGAGGGTACAGTCTTACATGTCATCTGGGTTGTATCATTCCTCTGTAACTTAAA